CGAGCTCTGCCCGCGGCGCGGCCCTCCGGCTCGGCCGGGCCCCTTGCAGCCCGGCCATCCTAACCCTAACCGGCAGCTCGGCCATGAACCGCAAGCTCCTCGGGACAGAGGCTGCCCGCCGGCCGGCCGGCCATGCATTCTGCTGATGCGTTTCTCTTCCGCAACTGGCGCTCCGGCGCTGGCGGTGCCTCTGGTTGCTCCGCCGGGCTCCCTGGAGGCTTGGCCAGTGCCTGCTGGCAGGTGGGACCCCCCCCTCAGCCCGGGCCTGCCCCGGCTGCTGAAAGCGGGTGAGACTTACTCATCCAGTTTCGGACATTGAGGAAGCTCTGCTCACTGGTCAGATCAAAGAGGAGGAGGAAGCCCATGGCATCCCTGAAGAAGGCAGTGGTCAAGCTGCGGAACCTGCCAGACGAAGGGCGGAGCGTCACCCCACTCACCCCACTCCCCTCCTATCGGGTCTGCAGAGACGGACACGCCCGCCCCCCCAAGCCCAGAGTCCTCCTCAGAGCAAAAGAGTGCCCTGGAATATCGCCACCAGCCTCAAAGGCGCAAGAATGAAGTCCTTAATTACTAAGGGCCGTTTCTGAAGAACCGTGGGGACTCCTTAGAGTTTGCCTGTTCTTCACCCGACGCGGAGGTCAGCGATACTGAGGGAGAGCCGGGATCCAGCTGCACCGATGCGACAAGACAGCTGGTTTGGTCTGGAGCCAAACAGGCAGCGTGCCGGAGTTCCGTCCGTCTTTCAAACACGCTCACCTTTCCTGCCCTGCTGTGTCCCACAGCTGAAGATGTATTCTTTGCCCTCGGCCGCTGACCCCATCTGGTCTGTCGGATCGGTACACCTGATTCCAAAAGGGTTTGTGAGAAGGAGTGTCTCTGGCCATCAGCTGACAAAACCAGGGTAGCTTTAAGGATCTTTCTCCTCTCCCCCCCTCCCCCAGTGCTTTGAGGAAGCCGGTAGATCCTTTACTTTCTTCATTCGTGCGGCTTCTAGAACAGTAAGCAGATTGGTGTTTACCGCTCTGTGGTTTCTAGAGGTAACTCCACATGCTAAATCCACAGGAGCCTAATGTGATTTTCTCCTGCACTGTGCTGCCATGTATGCCCCCCTCCCCATAGTGAGTTTTCCAGAATCTCAGCCCTTCTGCCTTCCAACCCATTATGTTGCACCGTTAAAAGAAATGGGAGTGCTTTCAGGTTGGTTTCCCCTTTTCCTGTTACGCTGGTATTTGTAGCACATGTCTATCATTGCACACCTACAACTTACACAGAGCTTTTAGCTGGTGTTTGCCATTTGCTCTCCCCCTGGCAGTAGCACCCGTGTTCCTTGCAGCCGGGCATAGGCCCTGCCTCTGATATACCTGAGCTTGGGCAGCTGTGAATCTGCAAAAATCCCTTTGGAGTGAGCAGTGAGGACACAGCAGCCCCACGCCCACAGGGAGAAAGCAGCAAACTTCACAAGTGCCTGCAGAAGCCATTCTGAGGGGCTGCAGACTTGGCAGTGGCATGTGAAGCTTGCACCGGAGGCCCCAGGAGTAAGGCCCTAAGCCTCTGTGGATGGAGGGGGACTGATTGCATGGGGAAGGCGGGACGTTAATTCCCTCCAAAATGTGACCAAGGGTTTGAAAGGGAAGACCGGCTTTTCTCTGGAAAAATGCCAAGGAAGGGCAGAATGTTCACTGGGCGAGAGGTAGGAGGTCTTCTGCACTGCGAAAGCTGGTGGTAGGAGCGGCGCTCCGCCAGCGGACTGAAATGACTATCTCCTGGAGCTGATTCAGAAGTAAGGCTGCTTTGGAGAAGTCTTATTGGAGGAAAGAAAGTTCCAGTCTCACAGCTGACAAAGTCTCCAGTACATCAGCCTGAAGAAGGCTGAGTGTGGGCAGCTGGGAGCAGGTTTTCAGTAGGGAACGTTCAGTATGTGATAACAAAGCAACAAATCAGCGATTTTTCTGTATCTGTCTCTTGCAGCTGGCTCTGGCTCTAAGTGGTGTTTTTTCTAAGCCCAAACTGTTTGGTGTCAGTGTGATGTCCGCATAGTTGCAGTCGTGGGCTGGAACAGGTGGTGGATGTGAAAGCCAAGCTGGGTGACTGGGAAAGTGGTAACTGCAGGCCTTCAAGACAAAGGCATTTGCGAAGACAAGAGGACAGGAAGACAGAAGCGCGGAGGGAAAAATAATAGGCTTGAAGGAAAAGCATTTCTACCAACTGTAGCAACTCCAGGAAGAAAGAAAGGTGGGATATCTGTGGAATCCGTCACCTTCCTCCTTCCCCACCGACAGCCGGTGCGTTTTCTTGAACGGGTCTTGCTGCACCAGCCCATCTGCAGTCTAATTTCTCCCAGACAGGAATGCAGTCAGAAGGGGGAAAGCAGATCACACTGGGACTTACCACCCTCTTTTCCCGGAAATCAATGCCAACAGTTGTGATGAATTTGGAATTGAATTTCCCGTCTGTGTACTGGTAAAGGAAACTGGTCTTTCCAACCCCAGAATCACCAAGGGCTAGGAACTTGATGAGGTAATCGTAGTCCCCGTCAGACATAGCGGGTGATCTTCAGTAACAGCCTGAAGAGGAGGGTGGGAAGAAAGGGAAGAAGTTTGAGTCCGGGGTCAAGTAAATTGGCTTCCAAGGAGCCCACCCGGTGTCTGGTGCCCAGTGGCAGTTCATCTGTGACATCTTCACCTGCAGGATCGAAAGGACATTGTGCGCGAGCAGGATACTGTTCTACATCTTGTCCGCAGATAGCGCAGCTGCGTTGGCAGCTAACGTCTGTGCATCGTAGGCACAAAAAGGCCAAAAGCCTCTGGACCTCTGGCCTTCGGATGTTGTGGCACGGTACTGCATTGAGTTTAAGGCTTGGGATTCCAAATAGAACTGGAAGTCCACGCTTCTGGGGGCCCAGCACACATTCCAGGAAATTCTGCTACGGATGGGCATATCGTGTCCTCCCTGGTAACCTTTGAACAAAAGGCAGGCTTTCCACACGTGTTTAGAAAAGCGCGGCTAATACTAGGAAGATGTTCACCTTTGGAGGTTTTCTGAGTGGAAAAGGGGAGTCATACACCTTCAGCAGGATCTCGCTGCCTCTTTCTCAGAGGTTGTCCACGGACACGCTTCAGTTACGTTCAGGCCGACGCAGGAGTAGGGATGTCTGTAAGCTCTTCCTCCCTTGTGCCTAGCACCTCCGTTTTAAGGGCAGGTGTGCACTGATGCCCGTGCTCTGGCCAAGAGACCGGAAGGGGCACTTCTGGAGCCCTGTGGCTGTCTGCAGCTAGATTTTGCCTCTCTCTCTGCTTGCGGGTTTTCGTTACCGGGGGAAAACCCTCTTACCCCTTCCACACAGGTCTAAAAATAATTCAGAGCGCGCGCTGGGTCTGAGATCTACCTCGGGCATTTGACAACTGGGAAGTGGCCGCGAGGCGGTGAGACGAGAGTTGGCAGGGTCTCCCAAGGAAGACGGCTGGCTTCCCGTTGTCCTGCCCTTCTGAACTTCCAAAAGAAAAAATCAGCCAAGGGAGGGAAGAGAGGCTGCCGGATCTGTCTCTGCCGGGGGATCCTCCCTCCACAAATATTGAACCTGCAGCCTCCTCCCTTGGTCTGTTTGGATTTTGGGTTATAGCTGAATGGCCAGGAGGAGGCTGGCGAAGCCCAGGAGGGTTCAGAAGGAGGGCCGGATGCCAAGGGGATCCTTCCCAGAGCTGCCTGGACACCCAAGATATGGATGGGGCGGGGGGTCTGTAGCGCAGCAGCACTCATGAGGGGAAAGGAGGAGCCTCTCCCTCCAGGAGTCTAGATGGCAGGAGCCCCCCCCCCACAAGAGAGCACCTCTGACTGGCACTGCAGGAGATTCCTGGGTGCTCTCAGCCACCCTGCACTGCCACACACTCCCCCCGCCTTGCCCTGTGGCAGGAAGGGTGCTCCCTGTCAGTGCTCTACTATACCAGTCAGAGGGCAGTGCTGGAAAGCCAACCTTTGGATCCATGCCCTGCGTGGCCACCACAGGAGCCATTGCAGACCTCCCTGGGTCACCACGAGCCCCACACTTGTGGGTTTTCTTAGGAACATCAAGCTTTCTCCTTTTGTCCAGGGCACCCTGGCACAGCTGCTTTACTGCATGGTGTGCCATGTTTGCCTGTGTCCTGTGATAGCATTTGCCTGGGCTGACCTCTGCCTTCCAGGTGGCCTCCTGCGTTCCCTGCCTTGTCTGCTACTTTTGGCTCCATCCTCTTGTCCACAGCCTGGCCGCTTCCAGGGAGGGAGCCAGGCCTTCCCTCCGCATAGAAAGGGAAAAGTGCCTGTGCAGAAGCCACAAGGGCATCACCCCGCTGACTCCCACTTGGCTGCTGTGTTCCCAGTGCACCGTGTTCGCTTGAAGCAGGTGGGATAAAGCCCCCCTCGGAGGGCACCTGTGCCAGCGTTCTCCGGTCCTTCCACCAACCCGGCCTCGTGCCCGAGAGCATCCTGGGAGGAGGCCCAGGACGCACGCAGCGTCTGCTCTCAAGAGCTGCTCCTTTGCACACAAACAGCCAGGCTCAAACCCCCCTGCTGAAGGGGAGCAGTTTTCTGTCTAAGCCGGCCCCCCACCAGCTCTTGCCTGGCCTTCTGCCCCCTTTGCACCCTGCAACGAAGCACCCAAGAGCGGCTGGGCACTCACCGTCTTGCTGCTGCGCCAGGGCAGCTGCCAGAGCCAGAGGCTCCTTCTCCCGGTCCCTGAAGCTCCACCTGCTTCACACCCAGCCAGGAGCAGCAGCTGCAGCTTACGTGTCACCTGCAGGCTGTCAAAGGGTGCTGATGGGCGGAGGGTGTGCTTCCTGGGGCCGGCCAAGGGCATGAGGGCTGGGAAGGGGCTGCGCCACCATCCCTCCTAATTTGCGGGAGGTTAGGCTAGGCTGCCTTCAACCCCTGGGGGCTTCCTGCTGCGAGAAGCCACAGAACAGACTGCCCGCCCCCTCCTCTCCACAGCCATGGAGATGCAAGTCCGGAGGAGTCTGCTTTCTGCCAGCTAGGCAAAGCAAGCTGCAGCCTTGTGCCCGGGTGTCCCAGTCCCCACGGAGGGAGCCGCCTCCACCAAGGCCTAGCCAGCAGACACGCTCAGTGAAGGCGCGAACTAGCCCGGGAAGGGCTTGGGGTTTGGGACTCTGTGACCAAAGGATCCGGACCTGGGTGTGGTGTGGAAAGGGCTGTCCAGGGATGTGGAAAGGGGGCAGGCGCAGGAGGGATCCCCGAGGGATGTCTTCTCCGGCATAGAATGCCTGAGGAGTGTGACCCATGCATCCGCGCCCCCTGGATCCTCACCCGACCTGGGAGGAGGCGTCTTCATGTTCAGCAGGCTGCCCCCACTTACCTTTTAGCAAAATTTCTCCAATATGCCGGAGCGGGGTACAAATGTGGACATTCACCCTTAAGGCTTCAGCAGCTCAAACGTCATCAAGAAGGAATACTAAAATACCAGATCCGTTCTGCGTCTCATCCTTTGCCACATGCAGCGGCTGGTCCTCACCGGATCGCTGACCCTTCAGGGGATTTCCTCTCTGGCCATTTGGGCCTGGCTGCGCTGCTTTGACAATGGCCCCCTTGGTGGTTCTTCCACAGCTTTTTCTGTGACACTGGGAGGGCAGTGTGTTGTGCAGGGACCCCGTGCTGAAAGCTGGGGGGAAATTCCCACAGGCCACAAAACCCACAGCCCAAGAGTGGCCCGCCCAGGATCCCGATCCCACTTCCCCACAGTTGGAAGCAGGATTTCCTGTGTTGGGGAGGAGGCGGGGGGGGGACTGGGCAGAGGAACCAGGGGAGGCCCTGAGGCTGAATGCCGCCACTGCTGCAGGGAGGTACCGTGGAAGAGGGGAAGGGAACTCTCTGGCAGTCCTTGGAAGCAGCCTTGTCCCCGGCTGAAGGCTTCTGTAGCCTGGCAACTTCAAGGATAAAACGTGCCCATTCACTCAACAGTGCAGGATGAATCAGGAGCTGCTGTTGCTTGCTTTGTTGCTGCAAAGATTAGCGAGGAAAACCGTCACGGTATGGCCGGCTTCTGTAGGAAGTGGTGCTGCCCAGGGTTTATCAGTCCCTGCAGCTAAAACAGCCATTTCTCTTGCTAAATCAGTTTGATTGCACACCTTGGGTGTTTTCTTTCATACGTCATCAGAGTGGAGTATGTGTGAAGCCCCCCAAAGTGCAAAGAATTCACATCCTTTTCAAAAGGATCCTGAACCTCGAAGGCTCCTGTCTGGATCCAGACCGAGGATGCCAGAAGGCAGGCACCAACCTGCAACTCGCTGCCTTGGAGCAAGACCCTCTTGTCTGTTTCAGCTGGTAAAGTGATAGGGCTGCTCTGTTCGGAAACCAGGAGATCCTGGTCCACAGCTGTTCTCCAGAGCGCAGACACTGACTGCAACTGCAGTTCTGCAAGGAGTGCACGCGAGCTGCCTCTGCTGCACGCCTGGCTGGTCTGCACAGGTCCGTGCCCCTGCAGACACCAAACCCTTGGGTGTTGCCTCGCAGGGCTGAGGGCATGTGGGGAGGCAGACAGACACCTGCAGCCCCCCGCCCTTCCAAAGGGCATTCGGTTAGACCCCCCATGTGGTAATATTCATAGGAATTTTCTTGTGTGCATGGCAAGTTTAATAAAGCAGTTCTTCCTTATACTACGTTTAATTAAACTTCCTCCATATACTTGATGTTTTTCCATTGGCCTTGGACCACTTCTTTTCCTGCCAAATTCTCCACATCTCCTTGCATGTGTAGTGTTTAAAGAGGAACTGAATTCAGGAAGAACTCCAACAGGCACCACGGTTTGTGGTTTTCCTGCCACAAACAGGGAAGATCTGTGGTTTTGCTGTACAACTGACAAATCAAGATATAATCAGCATCATATGACTCCTTAATAAAGACTTGTTTCAGCTATTATGGTGGAACAGAGTGCATGAGAAAAAAAATCCTTTTAGCGCGTTATTTAAGAGCATCTTGAACCTGGGCCAACACGGAGCACCATAGGGAAGGCTGGTCCACAGCGCAGCGTGACTGAGTTTGGTGCCATGGAAATGAGAGGCCCTTGGCAGAAGTGGGGAGAGTGCCTAAAGGAGGGGGTCTGCTCCTTTTGATTGAGGACATAAGCAGAAACGAGGTTCACAGGGCCTATTAATTGGCAGCACTTAAGTTCGGCAAAAGGCACTTTAAAATGTGACCGCATTCTTATGCACGTGGATAATGTTCTAAGAAAATGTTTTATGGAAGGGGATCTGCAAATCCCCCCCAGAGGATTTATTTCAGTGGGGTTCAAGTCCTTTGCCATCCTGTTGTTGCACTGTCTGCAGGATGAACATTGGAATTTGCTACCACGAGATGTGGTGCTGACTTTGCTGGCCTCAAAGACGAGTTGGACCCATTCATGGAAGTCCTGGGAATTAATGGCTCTTAGCCTTGATGGCAGCGGGGCTGCCTCTGAAGGGCATCTGCTGGGAGATCCATGGGCTTCCTTGGGCAGCTGCTGGAGAAAGACTCTGGACTGGATGAGACAGGCTTCCACCCAGCAGGGCACGGCTTATGCTCTTATGAATCAGCATAGACAGGGATTAGAAATTCAGCAATGGTCTCAGGACAGCTTAGCAGCGACACAGCCTCCACCTGGACACACAGGCAGTTTTCTCTTGGAGAGGCATACATTCCTGAGTCAAGGCACCAAAAGCCGGCTATCAGCTGCATCTTTCCCCAGCTGCAGCCTCTGGATTAAGCCACACCACTTCAAAAGCCACCTGAGCATGGAAGACTGAATGCCTGTTCACCCGCTGCTCCCCTGCTCCTGGGTCCTGGCTGCGTTGCTGTTCAAGCTGCCAGCGAGCTTCTGCCTTCCTCTGTAATGCCAGTCTTGCTACATTTACCTCAAAGGGAGTCCCGCTGCATCTGCGTCCCTTCTCAGAGTGGGGTCAGAGTTAGGGACTGGCTTTAACGTCCACCTGCAGAACGACGGGAAGGCGGCATATCCTGCAGCTCGTCAACCTGCAGCCGTTGCATTTATTCTGGTACGGCATGAAGCCGAAAGACTATCCAGGAAGTTCGCACTGAGCTAAAGAGCTGCCACAGTGTCTGCCGGCATCCGTGGGGGGAGCACCACCTACCTGCTCGGAAAGACAAGAGGTCCTGGAACATCCAGCGGTGGGTTTCCAGCACAAAAGGAACTCTCAACTCCACGCAAAAGCTGCTGGAGGCTCTAGGAGCAACTAACTGACCCTGAAGGGCCTGGCCACAGGCCAGCGAAGAAAGCAGCCCTGAGCCCAACCGGCCAGCTGGCCTATGCCCCCCCCCATGACTCTCAGCTGACAGTCATGTGGCTGCTGATCAAGTGATGCTGTGGTGCCCCAGGCGCATGCTTTTCCCTCTCAGAGAAACGGGGGCCAGGCACAGCCCCTGCACCTCTTGGCAGAGTCCCTGGCAGCAGCATCCTTGTCAGAGGGCGGAGGCCCTCCTTGCCACGCCCAGCCCTTCCTTCTTCCAGCCGGACCAATGGGCGGCTGGGCCGCAAAGCTCCATGCGGATCGGGAAGAGGCCCCTTTCTGCCCCTAGCAGCCCAGGGAAGTTGGCCCTTGCAGGCCGGCAGCGACTCCAGCCTGGGACAGGGCAGGAAGCAGTGACGCCTTGTGTCCCGTTCCAGCTGGAGCGACCGCGACTTTTACCAAGTCAGGGCACTGCCCCGTCCAGGGGCCGGCAGCTGCTGGCCAGGATTCAGCAGGCGTCTTCTTCGGAG